CAATTGCATGGCTCAGAAAGAGGAAGAGAAGAAGAAGAATAGCTCAGGAAGCAGCAGCATCCAATCTGAGGATCAGGAAAAAATTGACTTAGCACTCAAATTTGATCAGATCAGAAAAAAGCTTAAACTCACTGATGATCAGATTATTCAAGTTTTGGAGGAGAAACAACAGGAAACTCAGGGAGATTCTCAGCCTTCTAAGAGCAGTGAGCAGCAAGAAGATGCTGAGGAGCATTCTGATAAGAGCAAGGCAGCTGACTGAAAGCATCAGCATCACTGAGTAAAATCTCAGTGTCTTTTTTAAAATTTGCTATCACAAGCAATCCATGCAGCTTCAAGCTAAGGAAAAAAGTGTGCAGCTCTGAAGGGATGTGGAGGGCTTCTACAGTAATTAAGTATGTTAATTGTTGGATGCATTTGACTGCATAGTCAATTTGTTTAACACACAATGATGTGTAGTTACTTTTTTTTGAGTAAGTATTAAATGAACAATATGCAATGAGATTAATTAGTGCCAAACAGTTGAATGTTTTGCTTTCAGCATTTTGTCCCTGACAGGATCTCAGCATGATCTACATCATGTTCTACCTCAGCCAGCTTCAATGGTTTTTTCAACTTTGGCCTGAGCAAGGCTCAGTATGCCTCAGCAAAGCACTATGAGCAAAATGCATGGCCAAAAACAAGTTTGGGAAAGTGATGGGATTGGGTAAACTTCCAATGACTAAGGTTGAGCTCAGCAGAAGGAACCAGCAATTGCTATAATTAATTAATTATATAATTAACTAACTGAGAATTTTTGAAAATTTCAAATGAAACTAAGAAAGTAATTACTGAAATTAAAAGGAAGACAGGGAATGTTTAAAGACAAAATCGCCTCAGGAAGCAGTTGGACACAATAGTGTACCCTCAAACAAACCATACTATTGTGTATCATGATCATTCATGTGTTTGTTTGGTTAGCTGAAACTAATCCTTTGGAAAGCCTTTGGTTTTGATTCCAAGAAGAATGAAGCTAAGTAATTAAAAGGAAAAAACTTTAGCAAAGGAAAAGGGAAAGGAAATGGTTGAAAAAAAACACACCAGGAAGCAGCTGGACACAATAGTGTACCCCCAAACAAACCATACTATTGTGTATCAGGGTTGCTCATGGACTACCCCCTTGAAAAATTGTTTGAGTGATGTTTTTAATTGGGTTTTTAATAAGGCATCATATATTTTGGGAAATTGAGCATTTCTGAGAATTCTAAATAAAAGAAACTAATTGAGAAAATAAAAGAAAAAAACTTTAGCAAAGGAAAATGTAAAGGGAATGTAAAAAAAAAACAAAATCACCTCAGGAAGCAGCTGGACACAATAGTGTACCCTCAAACAAACCACACTATTGTGTATCAGGGTTGCTCATGGACTACCCCTTTGAAAAATTGTCTGAGTGATGTTTTTAAATTGGGTTTTAATAAGGCATCATAAATTTTGGGAAATTGAGCATTTCTGGGAATTTCAAATGAAAGAAACTAATTAAGAAGGAATTAATTAAAAGGAAAAAACTTTAGCAAAGGAAAAGGTAAAGGGAATGGTAAAAAACAAAGTCACCTCAGGAAGCAGCTGGACACAATAGTGTACCCTCAAAGAAACCATACTATTGTGTATCATGATCATTCATGTCTTTTTTTGGTTGGCTGAAACTAATCCTTTGGAAAGCCTTTGGTTTTGATTCCAAGAAGGATGAGGCTAAGTAATTAAAAGGGAAACAACCTTTAACAAAGGAAAAGGGAAAGGAACTGGTTCAAAAAAAAAACACATAACCTCAGGAAGCAGCTGGACACAATAGTGTACCCTCAAACAAACCAAACTATTGTGCATCAGGGTTGCTCATGGACTACCCCTTTGAAAAATTGTCTGAGTGATGTTTTTTAATTGGGTTTTAATAAGGCATCATATATTTTGGGAAATTGAGCATTTCTGGGAATTTCAAATGAAAGAAACTAATTAAGAAGGAATTAATTAAAAGGAAAAAACTTTAGCAAAGGAAAAGGTAAAGGGAATGGTAAAAAACAAAGTCACCTCAGGAAGCAGCTGGACACAATAGTGTACCCTCAAACAAACCATACTATTGTGCATCATGATCATTCATGTCTTTTTTTGGTTGGCTGAAACTAATCCTTTGGAAAGCCTTTGGTTTTGATTCCAAGAAGGATGAGGCTAAGTAATTAAAAGGGAAACAACCTTTAACAAAGGAAAAGGGAAAGGAACTGGTTCAAAAAAAAACACATATTCTCAGGAAGCAGCTGGACACAATAGTGTACCCTCAAACAAACCACACTATTGTGTCTCAGGGTTGCTCATGGACTACCCCTTTGAAAAATTGTCTGAGTGATGTTTTTAAATTGGGTTTTAATAAGGCATCATATATTTTGGGAAACTGTGCATTTCTGAGGATTTCAAATGAAAGAAACTAAGAAAGGAATTAATTAAAAGGAAAAAACTTTAGCTAGCAAAGGAAAAGGTAAAGGAACTGATTGAAAAAATCTAAAAATCATGACCTCAGGAAGTAGCTGGACACAATAGTGTACCCTCAAACAAACCATACTATTGTGTATCAGGGTTGCTCATGGACTACCACCTTGAAAAATTGTTTGAGAGATATATTTAAATTGGGTTTTAATAAGGCATTATATATATAGTTTGGGAAATTGAACATTTCTGGGAATTTCAAATGAAAGAAACTAAGAAAATAATTACAAATAAAAAAACCTGATGTTTTGCCTCAGAGCTTGCATGTGTGCACAGCAGCATCCAAAGCTCAGCAGTGCCCAGAGCAGCATCAGCTTCCTTCAGCTCCTGTCAACTGTGTTCCTGAGATTGTCAATAAAATTTAAGTTTTGTTTTTTGTTGCAATTTTTTTTATTGTATCAAGTTTTTCCTATGAAATAGAGGTTGTCAATTGATTACTGTATAAAAGTGGTATATTTAATTACTTAATTAATTACCTTGTTTCAGTTTGAGGTTGCTAAATTCTAATCTTGTCAGCCAAGGCTCAGCATGGCTATTTCAAATCAGCTCAAGACCTTTGCTTTCTTGGCCTTGGTGATGAGCTCAGGGATCAGCATGGCCAGCATCTGAGCTTGCATCTCAGCTTTTTGGTTTTAAACCTTGGGCTATTGAATGGGTTTTTGTTAACCTCATTAATTACTTGAGGAAATATGTTTTTTCCATCTCATGCAGCCAGCATTGCAGGCTGCAACTCAGTTGATCTGAGCAAGAGGCTGAGTGGGTTGGAACCACTCTGCACCAGTTCTCAGCTGGATCTTGGGCAAGATTTAAGTAAATAAACATTTTTGTTTCTCCACTAGCTTTCTCCAAGCAAATAGCTGGGTTCCTATCATTTTTAGACACATTCTTGATAAGTTCTTGATTGCAATGCCAAGGGAATATGCTCAGCTATCATCCTCCTCAGCATCATCCTCAAGACTTTGCTTGAGATATCCTCTGATCTGAAGCTGTTCAGTAACTCAGTTGAGAAATTGGACACTCAGATAAGCAACCTGAGGGAGGAAACTTGGTGGCACTTGAGCATATGTCAGAAAGATGATGGCCTAAGGTTGATGCTTTCCATATTAATTAATGAATTATCTCAAAAAACATATTCCTTTTAGTTGGTTCATTTGACCCAGCCAGGAGATGTGGGAGCTCAGTCAAGAACACTTGACCTCATCTCAGTATTGTGGCACAAAGCTGCAATCAATGGAGCTCAGGATGGACCTTTCTCAGGGGAGGCCATGGGATGTCCTGAGACACCTCAAGCAGCACTTCAATGACTTCAACCCCTCAGCTGGTGGATCTCAGCTGTATTTGGAGTTCATAAACACTCAGAAGTGGTCCTTTCTCAGTGGAAGTAAAGGAGTCTCTCAGTATACCAACATGGTGTCTTGGTTAAAGCCACTGTCAGTTTTATGTTTTTTTTTTCAATGCAATTAATTAATGAATTGACTAATTAATCAATTATATTAATTAGTTAATCAATTAATAGATTTGTTTAAGATCAAATCTGTGTGCTTAGTAATTAATGAAACAAGAATGCTTCAGCAACTGAGGACTTAGAGATGGAATGGGATTTGTTGCTCAGCACAGCTATCCTCAGCATCCAGGAGGTGGTGCAATATCAGCGTTTTCTCAGAGCAACTCAGGATAATTAATTAATCAATGTCATTTTTTTTGTGTTGGTATTTTTTCTATTTGCAATTTTACTTTTCATTAGTTCTTTCTTAAGTTTAACTGATCAGCAATATCTTTTAATTACCATGCTGTGATGCCAAACAATCTCAGGCCATCTACCAGACTGAGGCATCTGAGGAAGAGCTCAGCCATGAGGTGCTTCTGGTGCAGAACACAATGCGCCCAGAGCTTGACTCAGTCTTTCTGCGCAAGGAGTTTGACTTAGAGCATGCTCTTACTCACACCTCAGGATGGAGTATGGCTAAGCAGCATTACCAAGCTGCTCTGACCAGGCAAGATGGCCTGAAAACCAAGGTTGCTCAGCTTGAATTAGTTTGTTTTAACTTGAGCATTGGGGTAAGCAACAACTTCAACATAGTCTTTAGAGTAACTAGTTCATGTGATGTTTTGTTTATTATTTCCTTCTCAGGCTGAGACATTCTCAGCATTGCACTCCATTGACCTCAGTGACATTTCTCCTCCTGATGCACTTCCACCTTGGAACACTCAGACTGAGGTTGCTCATTGAAAAATGTATTTTTACTTTTGGGCCATCAATGTTTTGTTTGCTTGCGAAGCCTTTCTTTTGCCTTTTTGAAACCATGAATCCATGATAATCCCATGTGCATTCATTCCTTGCTGGTTAACATCCAATCTTTGCTGATTGGTTTCTAAAGTATTTGCTACTTTAACAAGTCCCAAAGTCTTGCTGCGAAAAAAGGCACAAGTGAAAAAAGTTACACATCTAAAACCCAAAGAACTACAACAAGCAACATCCAACTACCCCCATGACTTTCGCATCAGGCCTTGTCTTGCACTACAAGGAGCGCATCGCCGAGCGTCAGAGCCAATTGGCTTCCGCGGAGGCCGGTGATGCGCGGCTACTGGAGCTGCGCGGAGCCCTGCAGGAGGCCGGGCAAATTGGACAACAAAAAGATCACCTGCACGTACACACATATCATATATATATACATATATAATTAGCATATTTATGATTATAGTTTCATTTAATGTATGTAGTTAATATATGAAATATATAATAGATATATGTTACCTTCATAAACATAAACATTCACAGATAGATGTAGATACTGGAATGCATGTAAATAAATCAAATGAATTAAGTGATACCAATGGATGGTCCAAGTCCCATACCAAGTAGGTATCCTTGGGCCAGAAGGTCAATGACTTCGATGGAAATCGCGACATTTTTTAGCTTGGTAAGATCATTTTTCGTCAACGTCTGGGAGTTTCTGATCGGACCCTGCCCGCGGCCCGCGCGATGTTTTTGTCAAGATTTCAATGTTTTTTCGGGTCAATTTAGAGAAACACCCTAGTACCCATATGGAGTAGAAGAAAAAAGGATACATATCCATGAATTTCATCAGGGTTCCACCGTGGAAAAATGGTTTCGCACTTGTGTGACACAAAGAAACAATTATTGTTTTATTCACGATATTTCGTAAGTTGGAAACTGCCCAGCAAAGAACGGGGTTTTGCATGGTTTAGCCACAAAACCAGTGGTAGCGTGGCATACGAACATGACAATTGATGTGCTTATGTGACCATACCACCTGGGATCTCAATTCATCTCAATTCAATAATTCAGATCTTTAAACCTCCTGGGTTGTTTGATTGGGGTGTTAGCGTTTTAGTTGCCAAAGTCACTATACGCGCTACACCATGAGGAAATGCAGGAAATTTGGAATGAATCCATGATGATTGGGGCGCGTAGTCTTCATTGTGGATCTGAAGAGTGCTTTTTGAAGGTATGGCTGGTCCAAAGTTGGCATTTGAAAGTCCAAACCATCACTTCTACTCTTGCTTCTACTCTTGGTATCTTGGCAGTTTGACGTGGAAACATCAAACCGCCCATTCGAATGTCCATCTAAAGCTGATGTTCATTGTTTTCTATCATATCCGAGCATTTCATGTCGTTGACTCCATCACTGTCAAGAAAATCCTTGAAAACCTCATCCCCATCTCCAGGGGAGATAGTTTCTTCCCAACAAATTTGCACATCTTCCAGCGTTGCGATCAGGCTGAGAAGGCCGTATGGGTGACGAGTGGCATCTTCTATCGTCAGGCTGCCGGGCTTCGAAGCCCCGCTGGGAAATCCCCGAAGTTGATGGCTGATGGAGCCTGAGTTTGCAACTAGGTCAATCGGCTGGATGGGTGGAAACTACCATCTGGTTATTTAACATAGCCATGGAACATGGCCCATTTATAGATGGTTTACCTATTAAAAATGGTGATTTTCCATGGCTATGTTAAATAACCAGATGGGAATCCTTTAGTCTTTTGGTATCAATGGGATTATCTACTCACCAGCTAAGAATTGTCCCTTTTTTTGGCAGGGTATCTAAGATTGACCATGTGAATATCGGTGATTTTCTAGCCGAGCCATGTTGACTAGTTATTGCCACTAGTTTCCTCAGAATTATCAATGTGGTAAAACCAGGTAAAGTTAACAATAAACCATCCCCAATACAGGCTCATTATCGTGTATACCCTTATTTGGGCTGATGTGAAATGACTTCCAATGACTTCCAAATAGTTGGTTGATGGGATGGTTTATTCTTGCTTTTACCACATTATTGTTTATACAGTAGCCTCATCATTCATAGCGGGTCCGAAATTGATGTTGTAAATTCATGAATTTTTATGTTCATGGGCCACGGCTGTGGTTTCTTGGGTTTTGTTCACCCCCCAAAACTTCTTTCCTACACAGGGAAATGGATCAGAACGGGAACAGGGAAAAGATACAAATCCAATGGGCTTTTTCCACTCAAATCCAATGGGCAGAGAATGGGAACCGGGGAACCATTGGATTTGAGTGGTTTTCCCAGCATTCGAACAGCGGCGATCCCGCGTCAGGTCTCTACGGGGATTTGGATTGGAGCCACTAGTGCATTTCAACAACGCCTGGCCCAGCGTGAGCAGCTTGCGACGGAGCTGAGTTTTTTGGAAGGCATGCTGCACGGGGGGGAGGCGGATGGAGAAAGTTCCAGAACTTTCGAAGTCTTTCGTCGCGTTGTATCTTCCTCATGGGAGTTGAATCACGAGAAACGCTTGGGATTGGGGAATATACAGAAATGGGTTTCACCAGCGAAAACGTTTCTTTACCCGATGGACGTAGAATTTCCTTGTGCTCGACAGGAAATTACGCGCAAGACAGAGCCGGTGTTAGCAATTGCCCTCAGGTGTTGCAGATAGGGCACGCCCACAAAAACCAGACAGTTTGAAAAAGGTGCTCTTCAGCAAGCTATAAGTGGCAGATAGTCAGTCTATTAAAAACCAAGAATTGAATTTTTGGGGTTGAAGGCTTGAAAAAGTTGGATTGGATTAGATTCGATAGACCCTGGTCAGGAGCATCATATAGGCACAACAAAACTCGCTATAGCAGGCCGGGGGAGCCCTGAAGACATTGGTTGAAGGGATGTCATTTAACTGTGCAGGTGCCAAGTTGGAGGAAGCACCAGGGTCGTGAAGGCAGGCAATCGGGCTCCATTGAAGCTTGGGTGAAGTTTCCCGGACATTGGATCACTATTTGGAAACCATCGAGGTGCATATGCCTCATACAGATACTGTACAGCAATGATGTGATGTCAGTTGCCTCTGAAGCATCAAGTTCCGGTCTTCCAGGAAGATTGATCAAATTTGTGGAGTTGAAGGGTTCGATGATGGCGCTCCGATTTTGGCAGCTGGGCTGCCTTGTCTACATATATCTACATACTTTTTTGGGTTTGCGGCATGTTGAAAATGCTGCTCCAACCCAGTTGTAGCTCGATAGGGCACCGAAAACTCGGTGAGCCTGACCGATAGGCGCAAGAGCATCATCAACCAATAAATAAATAAGAATTTGTATTATTATGTTCTGTTTATCTTCTGGAAATAAAATAATTTCGTGGCAAAAATATTGAATAATATTATTACCAGTAGTACCGCACAAGGCGGATCAAGGCGGTGGCGGAAGTTTCAAAAATGCAAAACCTATAGGAGAGGTGAGTTGGTGTGACGCAAAAATGGCAGAGCGAACCCACTGATGGATTGAAAGGTGGTTGAGTGTTTCTCCCTTTCTGTCTCTCTTTCTCTCTTTCTCTCTGTGTCTCTCTTTCGCCATCTATCTACAGAGCTACCTTTCTAGCCATCTGCCTATCTACCTGTCTATTCATGTATCTATCGATCGATTTGTTTATTCACCTATCTATTAAACTGTCTATCTTTCTGTCTATCCAGCCATTCATCCATCCACTTACTTCTCTCTGTTAGTGTTTTTTTCCGTCCATCTCTTCATCGATCCATGTCCACAGCTATCCATCACCATGTTCTTCGTTCTGTTTCTCTATCGATTCATCCATGCATCTGTCTCTGCTGAAGATGCCTCTTGTACTGCGCCTGCCACGAAAAATGCATCTGTGCAGATCCTCGTCAAATCTCCCACGCCTGCCATCGTTTTTGAAAATGCTACAAAACCCTCACGTTTTAGTCACTTTTCAGTGGATGCACAATCCACGCCACCTACCGTACGAAACGACGTCTGAACGTCCAAAATGTCGCCGAGACCCTCAATTTTTAACACTTTTGACTTCGAAATGTGCTTCGCGCCACAACGCCGTGCACTTTTTCGACATCTCAACTTCCAAAAGTGCTCCGAGACCGCCAGTTTTTAACACCTTTGACTTCCAAATGTGCTTCGCGCCACAACGGCGTGCACTTTTTCGACATCTCAACTTCCAAAAGTGCTCCGGGACCCTCAGTTTTTAACACTTTTGACTTCGAAATGTGCTTCGCGCCACAACGCCGTGCACTTTTTCAACATCTCAACTTCCAAAAGCGGTCCGACGCTGAGGTGTTTTGTACCTTTTCACTTCGAAATCGGCTTCGCGCCACAAGGGCGTGCAACTTTTCATCTCTCATCTCCCCAGATGTCTCTGCACCCGCCGGTGGGTGGGGCCCCACCGCTTCTGCCACTTGGAAAAAGCTTGGGGCGTTGCATGGAGCTTGCATCGGGCTGACGGCGTCCCAGGGCGTTGAGCAGCTGCTTCAAGCCTTGTCTGTGGCCTTGCAGCGAGAAAACGCAAGAGCCGTGCTCCGGCGCTTGCCCCAGCAGACGACGTCTCCTGCTTCGCCGCGCCCTAGCCGTGCCAACGCCCACGTCTTGCACCAGCCAGCGCCCGAGTGAGTGAAGCCTTTTTTGTTTAAGCTTGCCTTTCTCGGGCAAACTCTTGTCGCCTTCGGGCGGCTGCTTCCCTTACCTGCGCCTTCCCTGCCGAAGGGCAGGAAGGTTTTTCGCAGGCAAGCGAGGCGACAGCCTTTTCGCCACGGCAGTTGGGCACTTTGCATTCCAATCGCGTTGCCCTGCTGGCATCGCTGATTTTGCCAGCTTGGTCGCCCATTTTTCCTTGCCGTTTTTGCCTTACATTGTAGGGTTTGCCAGTGGCCCATCAAATGATGGGTGAGAACCCGTTAGACTCCGTGCAGTTTTCAGGAGCACTACCAAGGGAATTATGTATAATGTTGGTTACTGATTAGTGTGGGGAGCCCCCCCCCCCCAAACAAATTTGGGTAACAGAATAGTGTGGAAAAAACAAATTACCGGGCACAGAATAGTGTAAAATCAAAAAAAATTGATAGATTTAAATTGATTTTAATTTATTTTGAATTGATTTCAATTTATTTTGAATTGATTTCAATTTACTTTCAATTGATTTGAATTTACTTTCAATTGATTTGAATTTACTTTCAATTGATTTCAATTTACTTTCAATTGAAATCAATTGATTTTCAACTGATTTCAATTTACTTTCAATTGATTTCAATTTACTTTCAATTGATTTCAATTTACTTTCAATTGAAATCAATTGATTTTCAACTGATTTCAATTTACTTTCAATTGATTTCAATTTACTTTCAATTGATTTCAATTTACTTTCAATTGATTTCAATTTACTTTCAATTGATTTCAATTTACTTTCAATTGATTTCAATTTACTTTCAATTGATTTCAATTTAATTAATTACTTTCAATTGATTTCAATTTACTTTCAATTGATTTGAATTTACTTTCAATTGATTTCAATTTACTTTCAATTGATTTCAATTTACTTTCAATTGATTTGAATTTACTTTCAATTGATTTCAATTTACTTTCAATTGATTTCAATTTACTTTCAATTGATTTCAATTTAATTATTTACTTTCAATTGATTTCAATTTACTTTCAATTGATTTCAATTTATTTTGAATTGATTTCAATTTAATTAATTAATTACTTTCAATTGATTTCAATTTATTTTGAATTGATTTCAATTTACTTTCAATTGATTTCAATTTATTTTGAATTGATTTCAATTTACTTTCAATTGATTTCAATTTACTTTCAATTGATTTCAATTTACTTGCAATTGATTTCAATTTACTTGCAATTGATTTCAATGTTAAAAAACAAAATCACCTCAGGAAGCAGCTGGACACAATAGTGTACCCTCAAACAAACCATACTATTGTGTATCAGGATCATTCATGTTTTTTTTTGCTTGGCTAAAACTGATCCTTTGGAAAGCCTTTGGTTTTGAATCCAAGAAAAATGAAGCTAAGTAAAAGGAAGCAAACTTTAGCAAAGGAAAAAGAAAAGGAAATGGTTGAAAAAAAAAAATCACCTCAGGAAGCAGCTGGACACAATAGTGTGCCCCCAAACAAACCACACTATTGTGTATCAGGGTTGCTCATGGACTACCCCCTTGAAAAATTGTTTGAGTCATGTTTTTTAATTGGGTTTTAATAAGGCATCATATATTTTGTGAAATTGTGCATTTCTGAGAATTCTAAATAAAAGAAACTAATTAATTGAGAAAATAAAAAAAAGCTTTAGCAAAGGAAAATGTAAAGTAAATGTTAAAAAACAAAATCACCTCAGGAAGCAGCTGGACACAATAGTGTACCCTCAAACAAACCATACTATTGTGTATCATGATCATTCATGTTTTTTTTGCTTGGCTGAAACTAATCCTTTGGAAAGCCTTTGGTTTTGATTCCAAGAAAAATGAAGCTAAGTAAAAGGAAACAAACTTTAGCAAAGGAAAAGGAAAAGGAAATTATTGAAAAAAAACAATCACCTCAGGAAGCAGCTGGACACAATAGTGTACCCCCAAACAAACCACACTATTGTGTATCAGGGTTGCTCATGGACTACCCCCTTGAAAAATTGTTTGAGTCATGTTTTTTAATTGGGTTTTAATAAGGCATCATATATTTTGGGAAATTGTGCATTTCTGCGAATTCTAAATAAAAGAAACTAATTAACTGAGAAAATAAAAAAAAACTTTAGCAAAGGAAAATGTAAAGGAAATGTTAAAAAACAAAATCACCTCAGGAAGCAGCTGGACACAATAGTGTACCCTCAAACAAACCATACTATTGTGTATCATGATCATTCATGTTTTTTTTTGCTTGGCTGAAACTGATCTTTTGGAAAGCCTTTGGTTTTGATTCCAAGAAAAATGAAGCTAAGTAAAAGGAAACAAACTTTAGCAAAGGAAAAGGAAAAGGAAATTGTTGAAAAAAAAACAATCACCTCAGGAAGCAGCTGGACACAATAGTGTACCCCCAAACAAACCACACTATTGTGTATCAGGGTTGCTCATGGACTACCCCCTTGAAAAATTGTTTGAGTCATGTTTTTTAATTGGGATTTAATAAGGCATCATATATTTTGGGAAATTGTGCATTTCTGAGAATTCTAAATAAAAGAAACTAATTAATTGAGAAAATAAAAAAACTTTAGCAAAGGAAAATGCAAAGGAAATGTTAAAAAACAAAATCACCTCAGGAAGCAGCTGGACACAATAGTGTACCCTCAAACAAACCATACTATTGCGTATCATGATCATTCATGTTTTTTTTTGCTTGGCTGAAACTAATCCTTTGGAAAGCCTTTGGTTTTGAATCCAAGAAAAATGAAGCTAAGTAAAAGGAAACAAACTTTAGCAAAGGAAAAAGAAAAGGAAATGGTTGAAAAAAAAAAACAATCACCTCAGGAAGCAGCTGGACACAATAGTGTACCCCCAAACAAACCACACTATTGTGTATCAGGGTTGCTCATGGACTACCCCCTTGAAAAATTGTTTGAGTCATGTTTTTTAATTGGGTTTTGATAAGGCATCATATATTTTGGGAAATTGTGCATTTCTGAGAATTCTAAATAAAAGAAACTAATTAATTGAGAAAATAAAAAAAAGCTTTAGCAAAGGAAAATGCAAAGGGAATGTTAAAAAACAACATCACCTCAGGAAGCAGCTGGACACAATAGTGTACCCTCAAACAAACCATACTATTGTGTATCAGGATCATTCATGTTTTTTTTTGCTTGGCTAAAACTGATCCTTTGGAAAGCCTTTGGTTTTGATTCCAAGAAGGATGAAGCTAAGTAAAAGGAAACAAACTTTAGTAAATGAAAAGGGAAAGGAAATGCTTGAAAAAAAAACATAACCTCAGGAAGCAGCTGGACACAATAGTGTACCCTCAAACAAACCATACTATTGTGTATCAGGATCATTCATGTTTTTTTTTGCTTGGCTGAAACTCATCCTTTGGAAAGCCTTTGGTTTTGATTGCAATTGATTTCAATTCATTTTCAACTGATGTTCAATTGATTTCAAATGATTTCAAATTAATTTCGATTGATTTTCAATTTGTTTAATTAAATTGTTTTTCAATTGATTTTCACTTTACTTTGAATTGATTTCAACTTAATTTATTAATTAACAAAGGAATTGCTTTTCATTTGATTTCAATCCATTTTCATCTCACATGGGGGGATTTATTTCTTTGCTTGTGAAGGCTCAAGCCCATTCTAGCCAGCTTCTTTGCATCCCATCAGCTCAGCCATGGAGCAATTCAACACTGAGATGGACAAGCTCAGGAAGGACTACAATTATCATCTTGTGGAATGGTTTTCCAGCCTCAGGAATATCCTCCTGACTCTGGAGAAATTCTCTTTGAGTCCTAAGGCTTGGATTTGTTTTTTTGTTTCCCAATGGGAAATCCATTAATGAATTAGTTAATGAGTTTTATTTTTGGGTGGTTCTTTAAGCAACTCCATGAAGGTGGTGGCTCTGACAGCTGAGATGGCTGACATCAAGGTGAAGCTCAGGTGCTCTCAGGAACAGTTTGTGGACATGCTGCAGAAGTACTACACTCAGCAGTTGGTTCAGCTTGAGGATCCTGATGCTGTGCCTGATTGGGTGATGCTCAGTTTCAGGAATGAACTCAGTCAGATCTTCAAAGACTTCAAGGGTTACCCAAAGATCACTCAGGGGCAATGGATTAGGATTCCCAAGACAGCTCTTCAGGATGCTCAGGATGGTTGGCCATCAGAGTGTATCCCTCTTCCTCAGCCTGCCCAGCCTGCCCAACCTGCTAAGTCTGATACATTTGATGCTACCCTCAGCAAGTTTCAGGATATGGAAAAGGAGTTGAATGCACAGCCTGACCATGAGGTGATGGAGGTGGCTAAGGACTCTCAGGTCTTAGACTCTCAGCCTATGGGGAGTGATGATGAAGCACCATCAGATACACCCTTTGGGTCCCAGGAGCTGGTTGATGATTCTCAGGTCCTAGACTCTCAGCCTATGAGCAGTGATGATTCAGCATCAGATCCATCCTCAGATGCTGAGCCCAAGTCCAAGAAGGCCAAGACTGAAGAGCCCTAGAGGACTGAAGGGTGTTTCTGGTGGTGTGGGATTAGTGCTCAGCTTGGACATAATCTTAGACTTTTGGCAATTTTGATTAATTAACTAATTAATTAATCAATTAATTAATTAATTAGCATGCTTATGCATGTTTAAGTTTCTTATAATTGAGTAATTAGCTAATTAATTAACCAATGAAGTTGTAGCATGTTCATATTTGTGCATGTCTATGTGATTCCTCAGCTTTTTAAGGCTCAAATCTAAGGGCCAGGACTAATCAACCTTTGCTCCATATCATCTCAGCTATGTCTTTCTTTGACTATCATGGGAGAGGCTCAGGCAAACCTCATCCTATGTTTGAAGAGAAGCCTGCTGAGGTGCCTGACAAGGTTTTGTGGACTCAGAAGGGTGGCAAAGGGCGCTACCAGCTTCAGCCCAATGATCCACCTCAGGAACCCTCATGCTTAGCACTCTTCAACAACATGGACTCAGAAAACATTGTGGAGTATCCTAGATACCTTGGGGAGCCTAAGGTTGACTGTGGCAATGGCCATCAAGTCTTCCTCAGCAGAATTCCCTGGCAATCAGGATGTAGAGAATGCTCTGTGCCTGGGTTGAACAAATGGATGATGTTTTTTTTGGTGGTGTGTGTTTGTGTGTTTTAGCATAGGACAATGAGCATTAATTAACTGATATAGTTGTCATTTTTTTCATGGACACCATTTGCAACCCTGCAGGAACACAATGGCTGGTCTCAGGAAGTGGTTCAAAGATATTACACTGAGGTGCTCAGAATGGACCCATTGCCTTGGGGTGCATTTGTAGCTCCTCAGTTCAGACAAGCTCAGTTCAAGCCTCCTGAGCCTGATCCACCAGCTGGATTCTCAGCAGCAACTGCTTCTTCATCAACAGGGAAGGGCTCAGGCAGACCTCATCAGGATGCTGCTTTATCAAATATGCAGGGAAGCTCAGTTTGGAAGCCTCAGCCTATCAGGACTGCCAATGATGCTCAGGGCTATGTCAAGTCTGAGCTCCAAAAGCTGAACATCAATGAGATTGACAAGCTCCTGGACAACTCAGAATCAGATCAGAAGCTCAGTGACTTGGACAATGTACCTGATCTGATTGAGGACATGAAGTCCAAGATTCTTCTACTTGAGCAGGCACTTGAATCTCAGGAGCTCACAATGCTTAGGCTCAGGAAAGATGCTAAGAACATGGAAGAGGAGCAAGGTGAGCTCAGGGCTTTGCATGCTGAGCTTCAACTCTCAGTGAAAAGATCTCAGTCCTACTGGGAGCAGAAGCTGTCTCAGGATCTTGTGAATAAGGAAGCTCTGAGAAAGTTCATGGAAACTCATCAAATGAGTGAACTAGATCTCAGGCAGCTGATGCAAAAGTCTCCTCAGATTGATCACAAGCCTCAGGACTCAGTGAAGGAAGTTGTGGATGTATAATTAACTCAGGTGCATGACTGCTGAGCAGATATATAGTTAATTAGAAGCCTTAGTCACTTCCTGAGTAATTATACCAGAGGCATTGTGAAGAATTACTTAGCTGGCAGGAAAAAATGAGTGCAGCTCTGAAGTGATGTGGGTGGTTTTGCCACTGCTGCTGGTTGTTGTTGCAGTTTAGAATAATTAATTGATTAATTAATTAATTAATTAATTAATTAATTAGCTAGTTAATTACTTAATTAACTAATTAATGAATCAATAATTAATCAATTATTTAGTTAATTAATTGATTACTTTAGCATAAGTAATGGGTAATGTTGGACATTAACATCACTGAGTTTAGTGTCAAATAATGGGTCTTTCAGTTTTGCTATCAGTTTCTTGTCCCTGACAGGACCTCAGCATTCTGCCTACCTCACTCCGCATTAAGGTCTTCAGCAAGCTTGAGTGATTTTCTTTTACATTGAGCTAAGCAAGGCTTAATGATTTTTGAATGTCTCAGCATGTGACTATCAGCAGGACACACTGGCAAAAGATGGCTGGGAAAGTGATGGGGTTGGGTAGAGTTGCAAGCACTAAGATAATTAATTAATTACTGAGATTGAACTTAGCAGCATGGACTAAGATTGAATTTAGCAGATGTGAATCAATTTAGATTTGATATTCTTTAAAATAATTACTTGGATGGATGATTGTTTTTCTCACCTCAGGAAGAAGCTGGACACAATAGTGTACCCTCAAACAAACCATACTATTGTGTATCAGGATCATTCATGTTTTTTTTTGCTTGGCTGAAACTAATCCTTTGGAAAGCCTTTGGTTTTGATTCCAAGAAGAATGAAGCTAAGTAAAAGGAAACAAACTTTAGTAAAGGAAAAGGGAAAGGAAATGCTTGAAAAAAAATATAACCTCAGGAAGCAGCTGGACACAATAGTGTACCCTCAAACAAACCATACTATTGTGTATCAGGGTTGCTCATGGACTACCCTCTTGAAAAATTGTTTGCGTCATGTTTTTTAATTGGATTTTAATAAGGCATCATATATTTTGGGAAATTAGGCATTTCTGAGAATTCTAAATAAAAGAAACTAATTGAGAAAATAAAAGACATAAACTTTAGCAAAGGAAAATGTAAAGGGAATGTTAAAAAAACAAAATCACCTCAGGAAGCAGCTGGACACAATAGTGTACCCTCAAACAAACCATACTATTGTGTATCATGATCATTCATGTTTTTTTTGGTTGGCTGAAACTAATCCTTTGGAAAGCCTTTGGTTTTGATTCCAAGAAGAATGAAGCTAAGTAAAAGGAAACAAACTTTAGTAAAGGAAAAGGGAAAGGAAATGCTGGAAAAAAATATAACCTGAGGAAGCAGCTGGACACAATAGTGTACCCTCAAACAAACCATACTATTTTGTATCATGATCATTCATGTTTTTTTTTGGTTGGCTGAAACTCATCCTTTGGAAAATCTTTACTTAGTTTTGATGTTATATACCAAAGCTTGTGAAGGCTCAGATCCAACTGTGTTGATTTTCTCAGCAATGGTGCTGCTGAAGAGCATGCTGGAATCACTCAGCACCATGAGATCACTTAGCTCCAGAGGACTGAAGGGTGTTTGTGGTGGGGTAGGATTGGTGCTCAGCTTGACCATGGCCTCAGACTTGTGGCAATCTTGATCAGTAATGCATGCTTATGCATGTGTAAGTTTCTTATAATTACTTGCACATGCATCATATTCAATAACTATACATTTATTGATTCATTATATATAATTGTAATAAATGAATTAGTCAACTAGATATTTTGCTTGCATGGTGTTGAATTATGCATGTCTATGTGATTCCTCAGCTGCTTTGATCTCAGTGCGATTTCCACCAACTCAGCTGCACTTCTTGCAAGCCATGAGTTCAAACACTGCTGCTAGTCAGCAGAATCACCCTTGGCAGCAGAAGACAGCTGCCCAAGGCTCAGGAAAAAAGGATGCTGAGGGCAGATATGGGCCCTGGGTACCTCAGCAACTCCTTAGCACTATTCCTGCTGGAATGGTGTATAGATCAGAGAATGGAAAGCATGCTCAGTTGGTGCAACCATGTGATCCTAAGAGACCTTACATCTCTGAGCTGTTCCAGAATCAGGATAAGGAGGTTATGGTCAAGTACCCCAGGTACTTGGATGAGCCTAAGGTTGCCTGTGGTTCCTGTGGAGCTGACATTTTTCTCAGCAGAATTCCTTGGCAGTCAGGATGTGGCAAATGCAGAGTTCCTGGGTGGACTTAGAATAATGTTATTTTTGTTTACCTGTTTTTTGTTCCTGATTTTTATGTGCTTTGAACTAAAGTATTACTGCTAATTACAAGTACCTCAGTGACAGTTCAAAACTAAGTAAACAACATTAATCATATAATTAATTAATTAATCAATTAGCCAATTAATTAATTAATTGAGCAATTCATTACTTGGTAACATCATGAATTAATTGATCAATTACAGTCTACTTTTTTTGTTTCATTCAAAGCAGCTTGCATTGAGGGCTCAGATGGATGGCCTCAGTGGGTGATCCAGTGGTACTACACCAGGATTCTCAGCATGGATCCATTGCCATGGGCTAAGTCAGTGAAGGCAGATTATGGTAAGGCTCAGTTCATGGAAGATCCTTCTGCTTCTAGGCCTTCATCTTCTCAGCGTCCTCCTGAGCCTCTAGGCACACCAGTGATGCCTAAGGCAAGGCCAGCTGATCCACCTCAGGCCAGTGAGTGTCATAGTGGTGAAGCATACTACTTCAGCCAGCTCCAGCAGATGGATCCTGGGGGTAGGTGCTCAGCAATGGCTCTGCTTCTCTCAGATGCTTCCATGAATGAGCAACCTCTGGAGGACCTGTTAGTTCACATGGATCTGCTTCTCTCAGATGCTTCCATGAATGAGCAACCTCTGGAGGACCTGTTAGTTCACATGGATGGGCTCCAAGAATGCATAGAATTGATGGAACAAGCTCAGAAAATGCAGGAAAGGACTGTGGCCAGACTGAAGACTGATCTCAGCTTGATGGAAGATGTGTCTCAGGAGATTTCAAACAGCATCATTGCTTTCCAAGGAACCCATGAGAACATGGTTTTAATGAAAGAGGCAGTACTAGCTGAGGAGGAGGCTCAGCAGGAGGCTGAAAAAGCTGAGAGGGAGGCTCAGGAGGCTCAGGATGCTTTCATGACTCAGAAACTTGAAGATTTCATAGAGAAGTACCAGATCCCAAGGGACAGGGCTGTCTATTTGCTCAGTCCTCCAGCTAAGAAACAAAAATCTCAGAATGATGAGGATAAGTAGCTGCCTCAGGCAGATGGAACATCACTGAGTGAAATCTCAGTGTCCTTTTTAAATTTGCTTTCAGAAGCAATCCATGCAGCTTGAATGAAGGAAAAACGTGTGCAGATCTGAAGGGATGTGGAGGCTTCTTCTGCAGGTTAATTGTTGGAATTATTTGATTGCATAATTAATTAGCCAATTTGTTTAACACATATTAGCCAATTTGTTTAACACAAGGTGCATGCCTCCCTCAGTGGACAGTCTCAGGGAAATGGATTCAACCTCATCAAGTGCAAGGCTGAGCTGCTCAACATGCTGGCACTTGTGGAGGTCAGGCAGCATCAGTGGGTCCAGCATTGCCAGAACATTGAGAACCTCAGGGCTGATGTGATCAAGGAGGAGCTTGCTGAGATCAGGGACAAAGTGCTCAGCAGGATGCCCCAGCAGGTCACTGAGGACTCTCAGCATGCTGATGACTCTCAGGTCTTTGGTGACTCTCAGCAGGATGATGACTCTCAGGTCTTTGGTGACTCTGAGCAGGATGATGACTCTCAGGTCTTTGGTGACTCTGAGCAGAATGATGAAGCAGCATCAGATCCACCATCATCAGATGCTGAGCCCAAGTCCAAGAAGGCCAAGACTGAAGAGCCCTAGAGGACTGAAGGGTGTTTCTGGTGGTGTGGGATTGGCCATAATCTTAGACTTTTGGTCAGTTTTATCAGTAATTAACTAATTAATGTTGACATCAAATAATTTGCTAATTAGCTAACTAATTGATTAATTAACAAATGAAAGTGTAGCATTTTTATATGTGCATGTCTATGTGATTCCCCAGCTGCTTTGATCTCAGTGTGATTTCTGCCAACTCAGCTGCACTTCTTGCAAGCCATGGGTGGCCAAGATGAAGCTGGCTTGATTTTGCCTAGGGGCAAAGGCTCAGGCAAATGGTGGGGCAAAGACTCAGGCAAAGACTCAGGCAAAGACCAAGGCTATTATGGCAAAGGCTTTGGCAAAGACCCAGGAAAAGAGAAAGGCTATGGCAAAGACTCAGGAAAAGAGAAAGGCTATGGCAAAGACTCAGGAAAAGAGAAAGGCTATGGCAAAGACTCAGGCAAAGGCAAAGGCCATGGCAAAGACCCAGGCTATAGCACAAGCTGGGGCAAAGGCCAGCACTCAGAAACAGGCAGAATCCATGCCCCAGCCTTCTCCAGCAGAGACCCCATCTTAGGATGTATGATTCAAGAAGGCAAAGCTATGAAGGGCAGAAAAGGCCCCTCAGTTTACAGCAAAGTCTTAGACACCATCCCAGCCAACACCAGATTCACTTGTGAGGGTGGTCCAAGACATGCTCAGCTTATTCCTGATGAGCCAGAAGAGATCAAGCTCTCAGAAATCTTTGGGGGAGATGAGTTGGACCATGCTGAGGAAGACATTGTGGTCTACCCCAGGTACCTCAGAGAGCCAAACATCAAATGTCCAGGAGGCCACAAGGTGATGCTCAGCAGGATCCCATGGCAATCTGGCTGCAGAGAATGTCATGATCCTGGGTTGGCTTAGCATCATTTCATGTTTTTTTCAATATTTTTTGAGTGTTCAGGAAGTCAAAAAGTACCTCAGTGACAATTAAAACCACCAATTATATACACATATTAGTCAATTAATTTAAAAAAATACTTGGTTAATTACTTGATAATTACAATC